CCCTAAAATCCTAAGCCCTAAAATCCTAAACCCTAAAATCCTAAACCCTAAAATCCTAAACCCTAAAATCCTAAACCCTAAAATCCTAAACCCTAAAATCCTAAACCCCTAAACCCTAACAGCAACCCAGGCAATCACCAGAGGAGCCTTTGGGCTTGCAGCCATCCGTGCGCTCCTCGTCCGAGAGCCCCGCATGCCACCTGAGCTATAGTCTAGACTTCTAAAGGAGGGCTTATTTAGGGGATTATAGTAATACTATCCTACCAGAAGAGGGCTTATTTAGGGTTTTAGGGCTTAGGGGCCTATATGGGGGATTATAGTTATACTAGCCTGCCACCTATTTAGGGTTTAGGGCTTAGGGGCCTATATGGGGGATCATAGTTATACTAGCCTGCCACCCTTGCCCCAGCTGTCAATGAAACTGGGCAGTCTCCTCCAGTTTCTAAGCCGTGTAGTCTTCTTAGGCGCAGACTGGAAGAGTGACTGGATGCGAGCGTTGCCCCAAATGTCGGTGACTTGGAGCAAAATCGCCTACAGCAGGTTCAGGATCAACATTGCACGCATGAGCGATGAACATAGATGGCAACAAAAACCAAGACATCATCGGACTATGCAACAAGTTAGTACTGCAATTGCAGCTACAGTAATATTATTGCCGATATTCTGAAAGTCTTGATGAGACTACATGAGCCACTGTCTAAACTCCCAGTATCCCCCTTAATAACCCCCTATAGCATGCCCCCATTTCATCCTCTATATAACCCCCCTTTAAGGAGTTTAGACTATGGCTCATATCGCCTTTACATGAAAATCCTGGCGTCTCAATAGCCCCGAGACCCGGGCCGGCAGCAAAGGCAGCAGGCACAACACCAGGCGCAGGGGCAGCAGAAAACGATGAAGGTGCCAAGTCATACCTGGCCAGCGATCATCAACCGCCGATGAGATCAAGCCAGAAGAATTAGATAGTAGCCCCAGAAATGATATGGGTACGATACAACTCGCCATGACAATGGGCATGACAATGGTTCATGTCGATTATGATACGTAATTCCCGTCATGATTATCATTACTATCACTAGTATTGTTATAAGCAAGTGGTAGACTACTGGTACAGTAGACTACCGCACACGAGAATTTGGGTACGTCGGAAGGATGCGACCTTGCAATGCTGCGCCCCCCATCTTAAGAGTTGACCATGGGCCATTCACAAACAAACATTCCCTGCATTCTCCTCCAAAAGGCCCTCCATGAGGACCACTATTACCATTACTATTACTATTACTATCACTATGACTATTACTATTACTATTATTCCCCACATCTAGTGTGGGGTTCTAATTATTAAGTGCGTCGTGGAGAAAACGGCTCTAAAAACGATCCTCCAGCTCCCATAGAAACCTACAAAAGCTGGCCAAACACCACTAACTTCACCAATTCCTTGTCAAATCCACCGTAATGCACACTTGCAATTCAGTTTAAGACCGCTCCTAAGCCCTAAGCCCAAAGCCAATGCTTTATGCCCTAAATCAACTACTACTATTTGTTATTACTACTACTACCTACTACTACTACTACTACTACTACTAAATTATTGTTACTCTTACGGTGCTATTACTATTGCTCATTATTACTCCTGCGAAACCAGCTCGATTTTTTCATCGCCAGCAGCGTCGTCGCCCGTGTCTGCGGCGGGGCCTGGCTCCTGGGGGACGATGGCAACATAGTAATAATTAGCAATAGTGAAAGTATAATAGTATGATATTACAATGGTATGTTATATATTAGTATAATACTTCAAGGTCTGGGGTTTAGGTTTAGGGTTCCGAGTTTCAGGCCTACTTCGGGGGCTTCTTAAGATTGCGAGTGCTCTGGGGCATTCTCAGGACATATGGGGATTCTTAGGATGCATCAGAGTTTGAGGGAGATTGTGGTGCCCTGCTTAAGTTTTACATTGGGGGATGTTTTGAAAAAAGTGCATCCAATTCGAAAAGAGTCTTTTGGATTCATTTAAATTTGTACTACAAGAAGCCTACATAGGGATCTTATTCGTAAGGCACTCTTGCAATCTCCAAATATATAATCAGATCGGGGGGAGACTACCGTGGACTTGTTTGGCTTTGTCCTAGGTTGCTTTGGATCTGAATGGCTTTGGGAAGTAATAATAATTGTAGGTATCAGCCTGTTGGGGTCAGGTTGAAGGTGATCAGGCAGGTTTCGGGAAGAAAGATTCCGGCTTGGCCCTGCGGAGGTTCACCTAAATCGAGAACTTGTAGGTATTGATCCCATGACAGCTCCTCTCAACAAGGACCCAGCTACCCAGTAAAGTCCTACGAGCGAGGATTCCCATCTCAAATCGAGAGCCACATCGACCCATGTGCATATAGTCCCCCTTAAGTAGATAGAATATGGCTTTGGGTGTATTATAATAAGATCCCCATATACCCCATAGTCTACCTACTTAGCGGGACTAAAACCCCAATACATACCCTGTTATAATATAGTAGTTTCCATTGTCTTTTCCATTATCCCTATGTAACCCCGATAATATACCCCATAGGCTATCTACTTAAGGGGGACTACAGTATAACCCCTAAACCCTAAACCCTAGATTCGATCTACTTAAGCGGGACTATAACCCCTAAACCCTGAACCCTAGATTCTATCTACTTCAGGGGGACTATAACCCCTAAACCCTAAACCCTAGATTCTATCTACTTAAGGGGGACCATATCCTTACCCCACGTGCCTCAGGAGCTGGGCTCTCCACTGCATGGGCACCGAAGAGGGCGCTGGCGGCCTGCACGTTCGGGATTCGCAATGACCAAAAAGGCTAAAGCTTGTACATGCTCTGCTCTATTATAGTTCCCCTTGAGTAGATAGAATATGGCTTCGGGGATATTAAAACAAGATCCCCATATACCCCATATTCTATCTACTTCAGGGAACTATAAAACATGTCGAAGGGATTATGCGAAATCCTGCGAGACCTCAGTTGGGGGGGGGGGTCGAAGAATCGCCATTTGGAGAAGTCCATATCATGAGGACATTAGTCTTTTGGATAGGGACCCCTATGTCCACTGTTAAGGGTCCCTTAGTGGTTCATATCATCTCTGTATCTAGCATGGTATCTGCAGGCTCTGGGGCTTTGGCCAAACTCCCAGTATCCCTATACTACTCCCCTATATAATCCCCCATATAACCCCCTTTAAGGAATTTAGACTATAGCTCATTTGGCCGAGCCAGTGCCCGGCTGCGCAGAAGCGGTACCTCTGAAACTTATTGCTTTATAGGTAAAACAAAGGTATGGGTTTATAGGTAAAAAAAGGTATGGGGTTGCCATAAAGAGGGGGAACCACCAATATGGATCCCCATATACTACAATCACCATAATCCCAATGATGCGGACTCAGAACTACGGGCCCCGTTTTTCTAAGTCTCCACCTGCCATGTTTTTCACATGCAAGGCTTGGCAGCCAGCAAGAAACGCGAAAAGAGTCGTCATGACCTAGGGTGGGATGGCAGTTAATGGCTCAGCTAAGTGGTCAGTCACTCAATCTATATCCTCACAAAGAGCCCGAACAGACACCCCACCTCATAACTTCAACCCTCCATACCAGTTTCCACGGTCTTTTCCATGTGATTCTCCATTATCCCCTTACCCCTATAGATCTGCGTTGACATCATGACCTCCATTGCGGCGGCAAGGTGCCCCAGCTCTGCGGAAAGCAGCGCCCTCCGGTCAGCAGCCTCAAGGTAGGCCCAAAGTGTCCATGTAGCTATAGTCTAAGGTCCTCCAAGGGGGTTTTTATAGGGAATTATATAGGGGAGTACTTCAGGAAAGTACTAGGAGTTTAGAGAATAGCTCAATGTAGCTATATAGTATATACTTAGGCCCCAAAGTGGTTCCCATATACCTACTTTAGGGCCCAAGAATATAGTATGTATATATAGCTACATGGACCCTTCGGGAGGTGCCTTACACGACACTAGTGCCGTCTGTAGAAACGACTACAGGGAGATATGCAACCCGGTCACAACTTGCGTGTTTTCCTACCTCAAGGGCAACAATTTGAAGGGTGCCGAGGTCTGATTCATTGAAAGTGGGTTGTTAAGTAGATTCAATCAGATTCTTGTCTAATTAGCTTGCAAAAGCAGGGGCTTCGAGGTAGCTTGTGGTGTTCGACTGTGGTTGTGCCTCCTAGCTCTCGGATGGATTAAGAGCTCCTACATGGACCAGACTCTACATAAACTTCAGCGATTGCTAGCAATGTTCCTGCACTGTGCTCACAGATACCTGTGGTCTAGAGTATATTCTCCCTGAGTCTCAAGATCCTACACGGCTGTACTCTTCAAGGAATACTCTCCTGAGGCATCTGCGGCCTGCGCTGCAGATCGTTGCGAGTCCTTCAGTCATAGGATGCTGCTTGAAAGCGCCCAAAATGACTGGCTCACTGAAATGGACACACCTTCCGACAAAGACCCGTCGTGAACCGCGACTCCAAGCGCCTCACTGCGCAGGGTCCATTCTCAATTCGACCATGTGTTGGGCTAGGCCCTGCTGACTGTTGCCTGATGCAGGGTCTGGGAAGGGAGACACGCGCGTCAGCATATTCTTTTTGCAAGTTCTCTGTCTAGATGTATCTCAAACGAGGAGGATAGGTAACCTATCCAACACAAGACCCCCTTCATGCGCGAAACGGTGAGATCCATTTCCAGTTACCAAGGCTGATCTGCGTGTGTGCAGTCATCCGTGCGGCGATGGTGCTTTCACGCAGGAGATACAGGAACCACACCTGGTGTCTTGCCTATAATAAGGATTATGTTATTTTGGGGTCTATATTGGGGTCCCCCCATTTAGGGAAACTATCATATTCATCCTTTCTCATCAAAGACTGCAACACCCTGGATGTAATCCCTATATAACCCTTAGCTGTTTCCGTTTTCTTTTACACGATCCCTTTTCACCCCTAAACAACCCTTAGATAGCCAATGCTCCTGGAAGGGAAGTCCAGCAGCCTCTCTTGCCCGACCCACTGCGACGTCGCTGTCGGCGATCTGGGGGAGCAGGCTCTTCTTCTTTCAATGCTATACTCTACGGTTCTCCATTATTGGGGCAATACCCTAAACCGGAGAGACTCTCTTCTCACAGCCAGCTTGCTTCTGGCGTCACGTCCGCGACGCTTTCCTGATCATAGGCAAAGTCTGTATGCTCGTAGAAATTCTTTCCTGGGGAACCTTGCCATCTTTCACACACATCATTCCAGGCCAGAAGATGGTGTGTTGTTTCGGCAGTTCATTGTTTCCACCAGTGCTCAAGAAATCTAGTTTGCTTTTGTGTTTGCCCTGGAACCTGGACCAGTGACCCCAGCCTGCTTCTGTTAATCTCCCAGCTGCAACCTCCTGGACGCCACTGTGACTTAACAGTAGGAAAACAAGTCGTCTGATATGCTCCAACCATGGGGCCCCCATCATGAAGACTTCCTGATGCCCTTAAACCTCCCCTGGGTCGAAAAAGCCGAGTCCATGGCGTGGAGTCCCCCCGTGGAAGCAGTCTGCGTTCAACAGGCCCAAAACCTAAGGCCCTAAATCCATCTAAATCCAACACCCTATAGCCCTAAAATCAAAAACCCTAAACCGTAAACCGTAAATCCTAAAACCCAACCCTACCTCCCAAAGCGCCTCCGTCTGAAACCAATGAAGGGACTGAAAGTCTCTCTCGAGACCGAAGACTCGAAGCCTAAAGCGGCGGGAAGTTCTCGCTGGTTTAGGGTTTAGGGGTTTAGGGGTTTAGAGGTTTAGGGGTTTGGGGGTTTGGGGGTTTAGAAATTCAGGGTTCAGGGGTTTAGGGTTTTAGGGCATAAGGGTTTAGGGGTTTAGGGTTGGGGGAGATGCCCGGGAGATCCTAGGATCTCTTGGGATTGCAAGGGGATTCTAGCAGTCACCGTTTAGGAGTCTCTAGCCTTCTGCTGTTGGAAGCCCCTGGCTTCGGGAGATGGGCAAGGGACGTTGTGGGGATTACAGAAGACTCAGAAGCAATGACCTTTCAGAATTGTCTGGGGTCTTCAGATCATCTGCGGATTCTTGAAGGCATTCTCCAGGATGGCGCAAAGGGTATGCAGGACGTGGTATAGGGGTTGCTACCACCATCTTTACTCTCAAGTGTTGTTGATGCTTACCTCCGAGCAGTTGAGTATGGTGGAAAGCGCTGCTTCAAAGAGTCTGTAAACATCAACAGCCAATCTTCAACTGGATCGGGAAAAAGCTCCTGCGAAATACAATAGGCTTAGTGTAGTGGCAACGCTAACCCTTGCAGAACGGCTACTCCATCGGGCAGGGACAATCTGAAGTACTAGCAAAGCATCGAAATCTTCACGTGGAGTTGTCAAATGAAAAACGACACCCCAGAATTTAACGAGACGCATTTCGGCAGACTTGTAGGGGCATTGTGGCGCCTACGATGCCGAAATGCAGTTAGGCGAGAAGGTCCGAAATCCAATTAAGCGAGAGGACCTAGCAAGTTGCTCGCCCGAAATCGACAGGAATCAAAAATTTCGTGTATGGGACAAACTTGGACCAGCGAATACAGCTGATTACATTCTCAAAGCCAAGGTCCTGGCATAGATTCTTCAAAACCTTACTTACTTGCGATGACGCACAGAACTCAAATTGAAAAGCCGAGCTGCACAAAAGCCACACCAACGGCGAAACCGTCATCAAAAAGTACGGCGTCCCCCTTTGCGCCTGTCGGCCTCAAGAATCCACATGCAAGCAGTGGGAGTCATCAATCGCAGCTGCAGCGCGCGGAAAGAGGTGCTCTGATGCGAATTGAGGTCACAGCGTGACTGCCCGCTTGGCAAGGAGCTCGCGCCTGGAGACTTGCAGGCAGGATTTCAGGGCTCATCCTCGGAAGCTTCTACAAAACATCTTCAGCAACTCTGATTTGTGGCCCATATACTCCCCCCACAGCATCATGAGATTGCACTCAAGCACGTGAATTGCCTCAGGAAGGACCTAACCGCCAGTGGGCTCTAGAGACCTTTGACACCATGAGGTACTCCTAGCAGTCATTCAGGCCCCTATACCCTCGTTCGTGCCTTCTCAATCTCAAGTCCTCTGAAAGAGTGTGTACGTCCTCAGCCCCCAGCCCAAAGAGCAGTGCATCCAGAAAACAGCAGCCCAAGACAGGCCTAGGCTTTGGCTATATGGGGGTTATATAGGGGCCATATAGGAATAATGGAAAGGAAAATGGAAACTGCTATTTAGGGTTTGGGGTTTAGAGGTTTAGGGTTTAGGGTTTGCATTGCAGGTTTAGGGTTCAGGGTTTCCTTAAGGACTCAAATTGGGTGTAGGCTCCACGGTTTTCCTGCGGTCACTGCTGTAACTACAGAAAAGCCTGGCATTAGATTATCCTCCTGTAGTAACCTTGCTTCTTCCAATCTTACTACCCCTTTATTCTACACTCCCACTATTGCTGGTACAGAATTTAGCTACTAAATTCTGTACCAGCAATTTAGCATGGGGAAGGCAGCGATTTTGGGCTTGGGCGGAGGACAGCTCACAAACTCGGCACAGGGGGACGTACGTGTTGTGTTAGTATTGTACACGGCTCGGAGATAAAAAGGAATGCTCAGGCTCACAAAGATAAGCATGTAGTTGTGATGCTGGATAAGATTCCGGTATCTTCGGATTCCGAGGAAGCACATCTTTGCTCACCGGGACGTACATCGACACCTGAGTGAATAACTGGCTAGTCAAATATGACTCTAGACCTAGCGGGCCTAGGGCCTTTGCAGCTTCCGGCCTGTCAAGAGTACTTGCATATTCTCTTGCCGCATCACCCATCTTCCCTTCATGTCAAACCGCATTCCTTCAGTGCTCAACCCCAGAGTGTCCTTACAGAGTCCGACCCCAGAGTGTCCCTCCAGTGCGAATCTCTTCAGTGTTCTAGAGCAGAACCTCTGCAGTCCCCAACCCTAGAGTGTCCTCACAGTGCCCAAACCCAGCGCTTCTTGATGCTTGTCTGAATGCTGAAGTATGAGAAGGTGTTATGGACCCAATGTTAGGGTGGGGTTTAGGGATGTTCATCACGGTAAAGACAAACACCCCAGTCCAATTTGTTGAGACGCTGAGGACACACTCGGCAGCTAAAGCCAAGCTGGAGGGAAGACAACAGACTCCAATCTCCAAAGTCCATGAGAATCAACTTCTCCCTTACTATTATTAGCTATTGCTGGTACTATCAATTACTCGCACCATGAATACTACTACAATTCCTAGTACTAGTACTAGTATTAGTACGACTATCAGGACCCAAACTCATTGACCCCACACCCTGGGCATCCAAACACCAGGAGATGGAAGAGGCGGGGCGCAACGCCACCGCCCTGGGGCCTGCAGAGTCTACAGTTAAGGGATAAGGGTTTACGGTAACGGTTTAAGGTGTAGGGTTTAGAGTTTAAGGGTTTCAGGTATAGGGTTTAGGGTGTAGGCTTTAGGGCTCAGGGTTTATGTTACCATAACCCAAATACATAGCAGATAACATGCATTTCAAATTCTGGTAACTTAAGTTCGGCTCCTTCACAGCAAGCCGCAATAAAAGAAATATGGGGGGAGTTCTCAAAAGCCGGCGAAGGCGTACCATGGCATGATGACAATGAGCCCGTAACATTCGCTGTAGGCCTCAGGTCTTCAGCGGGCTCAAAATGTGAGATCAAGGTAGGTGGGTTAAAGGATCCCTAGAATACACTCTACTACTATTGGGGCTAATTTCCTATACCCCACCTTCCTTCACCCCACCTTTTGAGCCCTCTGAAGTCTTGCTGCCTACCTTGTCCAGCCGTAGAGGATGAGGAAACCCAATATGAGCTATAGTCTAAACTACTACTATCCCCCTTAAAAACCCTTTAATACTCCCCTAGAAAGTCCCCTATATAACCCCACCTTTTAGACGACTATAGCTGACATACCCCATATGACCCTTTTAAAGGACACCAGAATACTGACGACCTTTCATACGCAAGCTAATCTCTCCCCGCATGACCCCGGACTGAAGTTCTAGCATATTCCTTACCAAGTCCCCCTATACGCCACATGTATGTCCTCCGTTGGGCCCCCAACCCAACTTTTGTTAGTCCTTAGCTCACATCATCCATGGCCTGGCTAGGGCCTTCGTAAAGACATCGGCCAGAAGGTTGAGATGGTCGGTGCTGGCCTGCAGAGTCTTGCTTGGGGTTTCTTTTAGGAAGTCCCCACAGTAAGGTTCACAATAAGGATTACAAGGCTGAAGCAGCTACATGATGCTACATGGCTTATGGGCTCTTTGGGGCACATGAGGGCCTCCATGCAAGGACACACCCCCTGGTCACGGGAGGCCTGATCGCTGCAATGATTAGCATCAAGTAATTCTGGGTCCGGTCTCCCCCCTGCTGGCCGTCAACAAAGATGGTAAGGGTTTAGGGTTTAGGGGTTTAGGGTTTCAGACTTTTTGCAACTCATCATTCCCCATTTCCACGTGGAGTGTCTGAGCGTGATGGATTCTGGGGGGGGTCCCCATCACGCGGGGGCTATGTTCTTATCATCTCTTATTTGCAGTGGAGTACTTAGAGGACTTTTATTTGATGCTGAAAACGACCGTTGACAAAGTTCAGATATCCGAATTTGCAAGCCCTAACGGCAGGCACTACTGAAACTGTCCTGCCCTTCATCCTGAAGAAGCAGAATGAGAATTTTACGTCATGGCTGATATCACTGCTCACCACCATTTTACAAGTGCTTAGCCCGCATAAGACTCTTCAAATCAGGTTTCAGGACCTTCCTTGCAAAACCCAATTAGAAGCGTTTGGCCCACTGAAACCTAAGCTAGAGGCCCCGAACCCTTAGAGGAGTTGTCATGCCCATGCGCGATTTTGCGCCATCCTTGGTCACGACTTCTTCAGGCTAGGTTGCACATACTGAGGGTACATAACACCTAACTTTCAGACTTCAAGGATTCCGAAAGCCTTAACCGAATCTCCCAGACCCTCAGCCCATGCCATACCCCGCCCAAACCATCCTCGAAGCACCGCCGTACGCTGCGCGCGGCAACATCTGCGAGATGCGCAGCCTACCATCTTGCAGTCGCCATGTACCACAAGTATGGCCCCCTTGCGGGTCCCTTATCTGAAAGTGTTGTCCTTGTCCGAAAGCCTGTTGAGACTTGGGTCTTTCATATACCCATGTCTGAACACAGTATTTTCTAGAGGGTGAGGAGTCATCGATGGCATCTCAGGGCTCTGTAGCCAATCTGTAGTATGGGGTTCCTACCTGGACCAGGTATTTACATTCTTTCCTAGACCCTCCTCCTACCCTCTATTAGGGCCTAAGTACCCACTATTAGGGACCATATATCCCCAATTAAGGGTACAAGGAGGGTCCTGGTTGAAATGCTTTAAGGATTAGACACACCCTGGAGAGCGGAGTTTCTTAAGAAGTTGTCAATATACTGGGATAATGGAAAATAAAATGGAAACTACTATTTAGGGCTATAATATGGAGGACTACATGGGTATAACTGGAGCTATATCGAATTTTACAATTACTTCCTGGCTTAAAACCGGAGACTCAATCGCAAAACCCTGTATGGTAGTTTCCCAAAATAAGGGGGACTGCATGCATAAAATAGGGGAACCCCAATATAGACCCCAAAACTCTATATTCCTTACTATGGGAACCCCCAATAGGTACCCCTAATTCTGGGGAAACCCCCAAAGCCCTCTTGGCACTGATCCAGCCTCCTTCACGGCTACATCACTGCCGGTGCTCTCCGCAGCCTGACGCAAGGCCCGTCCCCGGACTAGACTGAAGATGACATATACAGGCATCTGCGGCGAATCCTGTAAATCCAACCATAAATCATACAGGGTTTTCTGGTATGATTTGAGGCGTACTCCTGGACTGAGTGAATCCTTCTGGACGACTCCAGCAACACTTCAACGCAATGTCACTCGAGGTAGTTCTGCTTTGCTTTAGAACAGCCATTGCATGTTAGGAGTTCATGACACCAATGTTCGCCATACGATGCCAGTAACCTCACTATACGATCGCTCTGCACGCAAAGCAAGAACAAAAAGTTTAGAAGGCTACCCGCACTTGCTGGCCTCCAAGAATTCGTTCGTCATGCCATCAGGGCCTCCAGGCTAGCTGTCTGTCCGAGGCTGCGGGCTAAGAGCTCAGGGCTAAGGACTCAGGGCTTATGATTCTGGTGATAGTTTAGATTTTGCCGTTGCAGTTGGGGTTGCAATTTCAAGTAATCAAGTAGTTTGCAGTAAGGTGTGGGCGTTACCATGCCTAGGCTCAGAGCACAGTTCATGGGCTTCTTCGTTGTGCAGTGGGAGGGACAGCAGCATCAAAAGCAAGCTTCATCTGTCCCGGTGTAACCGGTGTAACCGCTGTATCTTCGCTGTCCAAAGTGCCATAGTGCTCTTGAAAGGCCGACACTCTGAGCTGTTCTTAAGGTCAGTAGCAAGTCTAAATAACCTACATGAAGAGCCAAAAACAGCCCCCTGGATATCGTCCATCCGATCCGCCGCAACCCCACGGGCATCTACACCCTGTACACCTGAATTCTGAAACCTGACCCCCCCATACCCGAAAACTTGCGAAGCCAGCACTGGCACTACAACTGCCACCCAACGCCTTGAATCCGAAAGCCTGAGCCCGAAAGGCTACGCACCATAATTACATCCCAAGTCCTAAATATACCTCGTTCACAAAACGGGCCTTCCAGGATCCTTGTCGCAAAAATAACAAACCACCAGGAAACTCCTGCATCCCCATCGATAAACCAGCATACCCCACAACCCTTCAAGAGCGATGCACACTTCAGAAACCACCATCTCATCTTTGCCGGCTGCCTTCATCACGTCGGCCCAGCCAGGGTGCTGCCTGCAAGAATCGCGCTTCTAAGCCTTATAGCTAATATTAAGTACTATTATTAATACTAATAGCAATTATATTCTAGCTAAAATTATTGCTATCATTATTATTCTGAGGGCCCAGGTTTTCATTGAATAGGGGCACACACGAGTGGATGCAGATTCTGTGGACATTTCCCAGGCTATAAAATAGATCCGGACACGTATTCAGGAACACTCTTCAGTTCATATTCTGAAGACACCTAGCGCAGTCTGTGAGGCAAAGGCTTGTCCTGAATTCAAGGGTTTCGGGCTGCTACATGGGGATGGGGATCCCGTGGCATTCTGGATTTTGAAGAAGGCTTAGGGCTTTGGGGAATAACCTTGCCCAGGGATGTAACAGGTGCTGATAGGATCAGGGCTTCATAGAGGTATAGAACTGCATGATAGAAGAATCAAATGGATGTACTTCCTTCTTAGCTCAGAGTTGGGATCTCATTTGTGGAGGTTTCACTAGGTGCCTGAAAGTTGTTCCTAGGCGGCCGTACCGCCACAGACAACCATTTCCAACAGGGCAAGGATTGAACGGTTGATCTGTGGCTCATGGATATGTGCCAAGGTTGTAGTGGCTGAGGTCGATATGAGTTTTTTTAATCCTGCAGATGATAGTCATCAATGGCCCGGATATTGGTTGTGCTAGGGTTTCACGAAGAAGCTTTCATGAGACGCAAATCTTACACGACCTGCACAGACTGCGGTCCTCTCCACGGGCGTCCATGGGAGTTAAACCCATCCACGCAACGTCATATGCAGGTGTTGTGCAGGACTCCGAAAATTACAGTTGGCAGTAACATGCTTGTAGCTTTTGACCCGGACTCCTACGAGTCCTTATTATCACTGCAATCACCAGACTCCAAAAGCCTTGCGCCTTTAAGTACCCCACTGCTTACTTGGAGGATCCGGAGCAAGCCGTTGGTCGCTTGAAGTATACTGTTTTGACTAGTCTCACCATGTTTGACACATAGCAAAAGTCAGCATCATATGTAAGTTTAAACCCAAAAGCCTATATGCCTATATCCACTACGCCTTTACTACCTTATCCTCTACATATGGCCTAAATATCCCCACATCCCCTACGGATCTCCTCTATAGTAGGTGGTTAAAGTGTAGCCGAATGCAGCCCTTAACCATTAGAGTCCCTCACAAAAAGATTTGCATTAGCATGTTGTAACCTAAAGGCTGAACCCCAAAATCTTAAAAGCGTAAACCCCTGAAACCCTAATCCCCCAAGAGAAAGCCTAAACCCTAAAACCTAAACCCTATACCCTAAAGCCTAAAACCCTAAACTCCTAAGATAATCCCTTGCAAATTGTGCAAAATTCCCTTCCGGCCCGGGCTGCCTCGAGAAAGTCAAGGCTTCCTGCCATGCTTCGCATGCCGGCAGTCCTGGATCCACATGGCTGGGCTTAGGGTTTAGTAGGGTGTAGGGCTTAGGGCTGTGGGGTATAGGGTTGCAGGGTTTAGGGTATAGGCTGTATAGGGTTTAGGTTTTAGGGTTTTAAGGGTTGTGGAGGTTAAATGCTAAACCCTAATGATAGTCAACAAGAACCCAGAATGCAAAGAACTGGAACCGGGCCTCACCATCCTCACGTAACCCAGGCTGTTTCCGATCTGCGACACCACCTGACTCGGGGCTGGGCTCCTTCGTGCTGATACCAAAAAACTGTAGGACCCTAAGCAGGCTATGTATACGTCCGGAGGCCCGTAAAAGATCACATGGATGCTGGGATTACGGGGAAGAATTGCTTGTGTCATGTAAGCGTTGCAAGTGAGATAGGAAGAGCCACACAGCCACACAAAGCCCTACAAGGTTTTTGTTTCACCCAGAGTGCAAAGGCACCTGTCGCAGCTTGTCCAGGAAAGAAACCTTGGGCAAAAAAGTGGTCTCGGCAGTCTGGACGCGGGTCATGCAGGGGTATAACGTCGGTCCAAGACAAGTGAGGATGCACGATCGAATTCATCAGTGACAACTATTGGACAGAGGACAGCGGCGAAGAAGCAAGCTGCTTCTTAACTTGACAAAAACGAGCACCCTGAAGCGGTGCGCAGACTCGGGTTCTGAAAGTCGTAAGCCCCTACCGAGAACTTCAGTTTGATTGCCACAGCAAAATATTCAGCAAACTCCAGGACCGGCACATGTTCCTAGTTCTGAAGGCTTGACCCTTAGCAAGTCATACTGTGTGTCAGGCTCCATCTCGACCAGCGCCCAGCCTGACAGGAGCAAAAGCAGGATTCTTTGGCAGGTTACAGCTTCGGGTCTAGGGTTGTAGATCAGTAGGGCTTTCTGGTAATGCCAGCACCCCCAAATGAGCACCCTGTGTCTTTGATAGGGTATAGTGATAGCTTCAGATTCTGCGGGAGCGACCAATGCTCAAAGGCCTTTGGACCGATAAGTCATGATTGCGGGCAGCTCCCCCAATCGCACTACCATCTTGAACGAAGCTCGTTGTTTATCATACATCCTCCCAAGAAGGGGTGACCCGTAGTACGTAGGTCAATGGTGAGTCATTAAATATTTCCAGGGGTTGTTAGTAGACTTGTAGACTTTCTCCCTCCCCCTAGCCTTAAGTAGCCCTACGGGCACCGCCAACTTCTCAAAAGGAACCCAGTACCCCTTCTGTCAGACTTGCCAATAAGGGAAAATACGACATAGAGATTATGTAGGGATTACATAGGGATTATATAGAGATTATCTTCCCGTATTCCCTGCTATGAACCAGCAAGCAGAATGGCCATGGAGGCCTTCGGATGATCTTCGCCGACTCCACTCCTCGAGCCTTGGGATGGGTTTGAGGTGCCCATGCACATGGGCCCTAGCCCCTATGAAAAGGGGGATTATTTAGGGGATTGTGTAAGGGACTATTATAGGCTATACTAGTCCCCTATACAATCCCTTATCCCCTTAAAGCAGTTTAGACTCTAGCCCACATGGGCCCACAGAAGTAAATGGAGTCTCGAAAGTGATGATGGGTTTCTGGCGCAAAGGATTACATGCTTGAGGTGGCATTTGGCAGCCATTTAGGCTCCTCCTACATGGGTCGATGCTTTGAGGTTCACATGCAATCCTGGAATTGTTTAGCTTTCGACTGCTCGCGGGTTGTGTTGCTACATGGGTGGTTGTCAAAATTATGGTCCCTTTTTGGGTACACCCTAAATATTAGGTGCCGTATTATAGTAGGGATCCACGAAGGAACCATAATTTTGATTACCACCCATATACTTCAGAGTTTATACAAACACGTCGGGATGCTAGGGCGCAGTGAATTCCATGTCCCACGTTCCATGGTGCAAAACACCTAACCCACCACCCTGTTGATTACCCAATTTACCCATACATCCCTACGGAACCCCTACCCTATAAGCCCCTCAAAGGACCCCGAAGTAAACCTCTTCATCCATCAGTCGCCATGAGGTCCAGGGTCTGGGTCTGGGGCAGTTGCAGAGTACATTGCCTGAAATAAGACCGACTTCAGCCATAGGAAAGCATAAGAATCAGGGGGCTCGGGTTGGAGAGGGCTGCAGCCCCGAGATTTGGGGTCAGGGGTCCAAGGTATTTGACGTTGATGTGGGTTGGAAGTAATCCGCGCAGTACAATGAGCTGCAACTGGAGACTTTACGACATGTGCTTACCACAAAACCCTGCTCTTCAGCTTTTTGTGCCCACACCCGGCCAACATGAAGTTACCCAAGCCTGTCCAATATAAAGAACCACTCCTGAGATATCCCGCAACTCAAGACCCGGACCCACCTTACTGGACCGCTGAAACCCCAGACCTGAGGTCCTAGACCCCGAAACCAGAGTCCCCAAATGTTCAAAACTCTAAACCTTAATCCCTGAATGCCTAAACCCAAGAACGTGGATCCCCAAATGCCAAGCTCCACACCCAGGTGTAGCAGCTTCGCCCCTGCATCCACTGCTTGTCGGCAAGGAGCCTCGACTTGACCTTGGGTTAGGGTTTGGGTTTTTTTCGATTTATAGGGTGCTCCCCCAGCAGAAACAGTCCGTAAAGGGTGGGAAACATGATATTGCGTGCAATAGCATCCCTGAAACGGGGACTTGTTGAGGGAGCAAGCGTTGCTACTAGTACCTCGAGTGTGTTGGTAGCTCTTACTTTTGTTTTCCTTCCAGGTCTTAGTGCTGCACTCATGACTTACTTTCTGGTGACGGTCCAACCGTCCCAAGCTAGAATACGCCAAGGCAGAATCTGGCTTCCAATCTGGATTCAAGGTGAGCCATACATCAGTCCAAGCTGCTGATTCGTCGGCAAGAAATTCCGCAACGACCTGCTTCAACCCGAGATAAAGTCTCTTTGCGTTGAATCTGAAGCCAAATAAACTACAGCCAGCCGGGGAAAGGGATGAAAGGATGCATGCAGAAGTGGCTTCCCTTGCAGCACTTGTTGAAATCCTTTCTTTCGGGAAGGAAGACAGACAAAGAGAGGAGGAGAGAGAGAGAGAGAGAGAGAGGTTGAAGAAGAACAACCAAGCTTTGGGCATGCGGTGGCCGTGAAGCCTGGCTCCTAATCCCTATATCGGGGTTTCCCAAAATCAGGGTACCATTTTTGGGGGTCGGCCTGGAGCTAAGCTGCAGCTGTGAACTTGCATGCCGCGTTAGTGGCAGTGGTTCGGATTTTGTCCGTTGTCTGTAGAAAGTCGAAAGGCCATTTATACTGCTCACATGTCAGTATGCCATGCTGGAAAGAGTGTGCTACTGAATTGCTTGCACGTCAGTGCCTCTTTGGCTCCTGACTGGAAAATTAACAGCTCCATCCGCGTGTCGGCATGCTTGCTTCACTCTTTCAAAAGCAAAGCTTGCATGGATCTCCACGACAGGAGAGAGCCCGTCACCAGGCAGCAGTTTCAGGGCTCCCTGTCCCTACCAAGGGATTCTGAAGGCTTAGGGTCTGGATGCAGGAGGCCATAGGATACAACATGGTTCCACTTCACTGTCAATGGACTTGCTTGGGTTTCGGGGAGCACGGGTCTGAAAACTGCGAGCGCATCCCCATCGATCGAAGGTATTCGACATGTGCTTGGGCCTTCCAATTGAGCTATAGTCTAAACTCCTAGTATCCCCCTTAATATCCCCTATAATCGTCCCCTATATAAGCCCCTTTAAGGAGTTTAGACGATGGCTCAATTCATCATGCAAAACAAAGCTCGGGGAGAGGCAACTCCGCCAGCAGCTGCAGCACCCAGCGGCATTGGCCACTGCTGTCGCAGGCACTGACACAGTAGCCTGAGTTCTCAAGTTCAGAAACCGAGGCTCAAGAGTTTCCTGTTCTTGACTGAATTCCTCTTCAAGACGTTTATTCGCAAGTAGAATCCAAAAACAACTTCCCCTTCTGGGTTCCGTCAGTGCTCCTGTCCCATTTGGGAAACGAAAACACATAGAGCAATCATTGATCACTTATCGCGGGTCGGAGTAGCTGTAGGTGAAGGCATCTGGCACAACTGCCACCTCCAACATGTCAGAGAGCAACCGTAGAGCGAGCCGCCACTGACCCACCTTTTCGCAGGCGCTGGCGCCTGCGTTGTAGCTGAAGACATTAGCTCTCACGCTTGCTGCCTCCATGACTGTAAGGAGATGGAGGGCCATCTGCCATTGACCACCCTTCTCGCAGGCACTGATGCCTGCACTGAAGCTGACCACACTGCCCAAGACCCTGGCTCGGGGCATCTGCCTGAAAAGATGCAGTGCCAGCTGCCACTGGTCGGCTTTCTCGCAGGCAGTCATGCTGGCGTTGCAGCTGACAACGTTTGCCGTAACCCCTGCTTCAGGCATGTCAGACAAAAGCTGCAGCGCCATCTGCCATTGCCCTGCCTTCTCACAGGCGCTGATAGCGGCACTGAAGCTGACCACATTTGCAGCAACCCTGGCTCCGGGCATCTCTGAGAAAAGTTGGAGGGCCTCCTGCCAGAGTCCCCCCTTTTCACAGGAGCTGATGGCCGCATTGAAGCTGATTGCAGTCAGTCCAATCTTCCTGCAAGCCATTTCTGAGAGCAGGTGGAGCGCTGCCTGCCAGAGCCCACGCTTTTCGCAGGCACTGATGGCTGCATTGAAGCTTACAACGTTGGGTGTCAGCTCAGATGCAGGCATGGAAGAAAGTAGCTGCATGGCCATCTGCCACTGACTGGCTTTCTCACAGGCGCTCATGCAAGCACTGAAGCTGATCACGTTGGTCCTGACTCTGCCATTGGGCATGTCCGCGAGAAGGTGTAAAGCCATCTGCCAAAGACCTGCCCCCTCGCAGGCGCTGATAGCCGCATTGAAGCTGACTGTGCTGGGAGCAACCTCCGAGCTTTCCAACATCCGCTATCTCACCCCGCTGCCTCTAGCACCCCCTAAACACTAAACCCTAAATAGCAGCATAGCAGCTTCCATTTTCTTTTCCATCATCCCTATATAACCCCTATAAAAACCTTGATAAACAGCTAACACATAACCATAAACCCCTGGTTTGGGGCCCCTGACACCTCAGCCTCGGGCATAGCCTCAAAGAGCTGCAGTGCCTGCTGCCACTCTGCGCTCTTTTCAAGGGCGGTGATGGTGGCATTGTAGCTCACCTAGGTACTGCGGTCACACAAAGTGAGTATTTATGTGTTATGCAAGGGGTTGTGTAAGGAGTAAGGAATCTAAATTGCTTAAAACAAGAATAACTATAACGATAAGAAGAATTACTACAATCATAACGAAAAGAATGTGATGTGCGGCTTCTATTGTTGTCTGAGCTACTGGTCAGGGGAACATTAGTAAGCGCGTCATCGTTTTCCAATCGAAAACCCTCCGTCACGAAACCACTGTCCATCCTTCATATATCTCCTATGACCGAATAAAACCACGCATCATGCATACTTAGGGCCATGCGGCAGAGGCTATAACTGGTACGGCTTGGCAATACATAGAGACATAGAGATTAGGTGGACCCCCCCATCAAGTAATAGTGACCATAAGGGATAATAGAGGATAATGGGGAGTGTATTAAGCTCCTCTTATATGCTTAGTTTACCACTATCAATTACAGGTCCGGGGGATCCACCTAAGACATAGAGACAAGGTTCACAAATGTGCAACTCAGCAACTGGATCCGCAGCTAGCCTGGCAGCAGGCATGTCCTGGGCCGTCAAGCAGCTGGGAATTTCATGCACGATACCGGAAACTTCAGAACTGGCAGGCTGCAAGAAGCAGCGAGACAAACAGTAGCAAAACCATGCTCCTTGCGGGCCTGGGCTTCAGAAAAGATATGTAGAGCCATCTGCCATTGACCAGCCTTTTCGCAAGCGCTGATGCCCGCGTTGATGCAGATAACGTCAGCCTGGACTCCGTCAGCCTGCATGTCGGAAAGAAGTTGCAGAGCCTGCTGCCAGTTCCCGGACTTTTCACAGGCACTGATCCCTGCGCTAAAGCTGATGACATCCGGCAAAAGAGCCTTCCTAGGCATCTCGGCCAGCAGCTGTAAGCCTCTTTGCCTCAAATTGTATATAATAGCATGAACAAAGCTGAAATCCTGATTTGTTTAACACAAGCCTGTCATGCACTTCTGGTACTAAGCTGAATAATAATGATAAGTCGGCTTCCGAGCTGCCACTGTCCACCCTTCTCACAGGCGCTGATGCCAGCATTGAAGCTGATCACGCTCTGCGAGACATCGACCTCTTCCATCTGAAACAGGAGACGAAGTGCCCTCTGCCATTCCCCGGCCTGAGGGTGAGGATCTTGCTTAGTGGATGAAACATGAACAAGAAGTGTAAAATGTACACAGACGAGATCCTGTGAACTCCTCAAAGGCCTTACAATGGACAAGTGTTGATGTGTGATGCCTTCTCACAGGCGCTGATGCTGGCACTGAAGCTCACGGCGTCAGGGTAGAGCCTTGGTTTTTGCAACACTGGGAGAACAGGAGAATGTTTTGCGCTGTAGGGCTTAGCCCTGGTGGCGGCCGGATTGCAGGAAGATTTCCAGGTAGGTCCGTTGATTTCCAGGTAGGTCAGTTGACAAACGTTCAGATGGCTAAAACCGCTCATGGTCCTTAAAAGAAACCGTATGGTACTGATAATGATAACACTGAGCACGGAAGCAACAACATCGCCATGATGACGCTGGCCTTTGACAGCTTCATCATTGCAATAGCTGTTACTTTACAGGCGACCCCGACATCAATTTCGACTGCTGGCAAAGAGGACTCAAGCGCCAAAGCTAACAGCACGTCATAACAGCAGCTTGATGGTGATAATGCTTCAACGCCAATGAACCGCAAGCACAAGGATCATGACCAATTCATGAAATCGCGGATGCCAGTAGCAGTACCATAACACTATATCTCTCTCTCATGATGCCGTCAATACTGAAACTCCTGCATTAACCTCGGGAATCATGGGAGTTTAGTACCAGAACTTCTTACAGGTTTTTTGCAAAACATCAACAGTAATAATAATAGTAATAACAATAATCATACTAACAATAATCATAATATAATATAGTAATAATAATAATACAATAATAATAATGAACAGCCAGCGGCTTCGACGTGGGCATGGCAGAGAGCAAGTGGAGGCCAAGCTGCCATTGCCTCGCCCTTCCGCAGCCTCAGCTCCGGCACTTTGGGGAAAGCCCTGAAGGGTTGAGGGAGTTGGTGGTATTTTTTAGGTTTTTTTGTTTTTTTCGGTGTAGGGTTAAAGGCTGCTTCTACTGTAAGGATTCCACTCGAAGCTTTTGTGAAGGTTTCGGGCTTAGGCTTCGTTTCTAGCCTTCAATTGGCATTTTGTTGCTTTGGTTGTAGAGCTTTGGTCTTGGAGTGGGGTTCACAAGCGTAGGATGGGATTCCCTTGACAGTACGAGGCTGCATGAGGTCCCTGACGGGATCTATTATACAAAGGTGCCGTGACCCGATTCCAATGTTGTGAAGCCCCTATACCCACGATGACAAACCCTTTCATTGAAGCACGTTGTCTTTTCATGGGCACCGCTTTGTATTGCCGCGACTGGTAGGCCTACTGAAAGTCGTCGGATAAAGACTTCAGGGATGAAGGTGTCATTTCGATCATTGATGTATCGGCTTTCAAGCTTGGAGCTTGAGATTTAGCAGTTTGCCAGCTAGGATAACCAGTTGTAGGTTCCTTTTTAGGAAAGGGTTTAGGGCTTAAGAATTCTCACGCAAGCCTAGCGGCAACTGATGGCAGTGTTGAAGCTCCGAAGATTCCCCTTGCCCGAGAGTGCGTCTTCCACCAGTTGCGGAAGGGGGTCAGCAATTGCCATGGCAACAAGATTCTTAACACACTACTCCTAGACTCAAAAATGTCTGAAGCTCTTTAACAATACGAATCACAGTGTGAATTTGCTGGCTACTGCTGCTGATGTTGTATTCAGACAGAATTTGCGTGCCCGCAGCAGGTGAGTGGCTTTGGAACAAGCGTCTTGAGGCTGGAATACGCCAGATCCAAAGCGGCGACATGTCACCCGCGGAATTTCGTTCAATCCGTCCGTCGTCGACGGACAATTCATAGAGTTGGGGTCCCCCTGTATACTCGCCGAACTTGATCGCTCTGACGGGTCAAGCCGCTCCATCCTAAACTTGCCCCCATAGGCCCTAACTCAGTACCCAATTATTATGTACATGGGATTTGGGTAATAATAATTATAGTACAGTTTTTTTGGGTAAGTATATGATTATTTGGTACTTGGACCCTTATGGTAAAGAATTTCAAGGTTTCAGAGATCGTTGGGAAGCTTAAGGAGGCACAAAATTGGTATGCAGCAGTAGCACAGTAGGCTGACAAGCCGGGCCTTGACTTGTAAGACACACCTGGTAAGCAAGACAGGTTGAGTATGTCCCCCACCCTAAGGGCTATATATATATATATGTAACTATATTATGAATACTATCCTACTGTTATAAAGTGGGGAACAGACTCCATGGATCAAAAGCTTTCTGAGCGCACGGGGCCACGGAGCAAACCATCCTAGACACACCCAATGACAAAGTCCTGACTTACTGGGGCTAGTAGGGAATAAGGAACCTCACTCCTTATACAATCCCTATATCATGTATTCCCGTCTTCCCTACAAACCCCCAGCAAGCTGAGCTGCCCATCCAACTCCTATCAAGCCCTGTACATGCTCCCTGACAACCATGTCTCAGGAGGCCTCCAGCTTGCGCTTGATGAAGCCAACACTGTAGTTGACTGCCTGTGGCACGGACGCTGGTGAAAATGGAGTTTGCCGCTGTGCGCTGTTCTTCATGGGGCTTAAGCTTCTGCAGGGTTGGGTGCTCACGGAAACCTCCGCAAGAGTTATCGAGTAATACGGCGGCATGTGCAGGATGCTTATTGCCCAGCACGGTCAGGGTTGTCTGTGTTGCCACGCTTGTTTCATTGTCAGGCACATGCCGCATCAGTACCTAAACTTGGATCATGCATTGTATCTGTCACAGCGCGCCGTGTTGATCACACCGTAGCCATGGACGCGGATGGAAGCCGCCAGGTGCCTCTGTGTCAGGACTGCATGCCTCTACGGGGGACAACCAAGGATCTGGGGGTCAGGGTTCAGAGTCTGGAGTTTAGGGCCCGTGGTTCAGAGTTGGAGGGTGGCATAGCGGGCCTGCTCTATACCTCCGAAGAAGCTATCAGTTATAGGGGTTGCAACCCCCTCCTAAAACAGGTTGCGCTACCTTTGTTGCGATCATTCTCTTTCACCTTCGTCTTGACTCATGCCACTGTAGCGACCTTCATCATCTCTTTCCTATCCTGACATCTTATGCAATGGGCTAGCCTTCGAAGCATCAAGTCTGTGGGAAGCGGTTGTGCTACTCTAGTAGTGTGAATCAATGTTCTTACAAAGGCTGTTTACGCCTTGTTATGCTATAAGACTCGGGGTTGCAGGGCTTAGTTAGGCTTGAGCTTTGTAATTTAGGTTTGGGGTTCGGGTTTTCAGGGTTTGGGGGCGAGGTCTGTGAGAAGTGGGCTTTGTTTGGACTGGAAGGCTACTCGCCAAAGCCTGGAGTCTTGGGCGCTTGCCTTTGATTCTTTGATGCCTGGCATCCACATACCCTGTAACACCTCTCTGATCCCTTGCTTCAGATAGAACAGCAAGCACAGAAAGACATTTACAGCCCATACTTTGGACCTGAGAGATGGAGAGCCCAATTCGATCCTATCGACCTGTGCTCGCATGCAGCCAAGCAACTCCACCGTGATGGTACGAATCTTCGCTTCCCCTTGGTTGGAGGCCTCTGCAGAATAAGTTTGGTGTTGCGGCCTGAAGCATTCTGACCCAGGGCTCCAAATATGTTCCCGATTTTGTAATTGCCAGCAACAGGATAGTTTCGCTCATTCGGTACTGGACTCCCACCAGCTGAAGCTCTGGCTACCAACGAGTTCCATCTAATTCTAACACAGATCCCTGGGAATATTTGAGACTTGCGAGAATTCTATCCCCAACTGTTTCCTGAAAGCGCCAATCAAAAGCTGGCCTGCGTGAAGAACTGCTGATGAAGACTGTAGCAGTACCTGCTTTACTTAAAGCCTGTTCGGGGGCTTGATTGGGGATCTAGACAGCTTCTATAGGTCTTGTAGGTACATGGGGTGTGGGTCTCTGTTGGAAGGGTCTTCATACTATGAAGCTGAGTACTTAGAAAGAAATTCAAGGTATGTATGGAACTCCAGTTTTGAGAAGTGCCCCTCTAAAGCTTGCGGACACACGTACCTAGATCCCCAAATATCCCCCCCCTAAAAGTGTAGTATGCAATGAGCCAAAATGCCCCTGAACATTCGGCCACAGATGCAGCCAGCTACACATGCTGGTATCTCAAATTAGGGGACAGTTCTGCGGAGCCTTTTTTGAGGTATGCATGCCACAGAACCCAGATTTAGAACGTGGAGAAGTGCAGGTCTGAATGTGCTGAACTCTGCTTGGGGAACTCTCGACATTGAAGTCTAAGTTTCTCCAAGCAAAATCTAAACTAATTTATCCGTTAACTTACACGTGACAGATCCTACTGCAGCCTCAGCTCCCAGCAGGGAGTGCTACAGCCACAATACACTTACAAAGTATCAGCCAACTCGCTCTGGGGCAGGAGTCTACTGCTCTCGTAACAGTTAAATATAACCCCAATATAACCCCAGTTTCCATTTCATTTTCCATTTTCTTTTCCATTTGATTCTCCATTATAGTAATATAACCCCAATATATACCCCAATATATACCCTTGCCACTGTGACTTACGGCGCTCTTTGAGTTACCGTTGATGCAGCAGCGATGTCCGGAACCCATGGGACGGCAATCGTGCGTTCGGTATCCAGATCCCTACAGAGCTCAAGTTCCTCCATGAAAGTTAGCTGCCGGTCAATGTTTATGCAATGGACTGCCTGCTTCGAGAAAAGCTGCTGCGGAAGATGCTGACAGCTACATGTGGCAAAATCAGCACCTCAGGACTGCAGTGGAGGGCGCACTGTGTGGCCAGCAGGTGGACATTTCGCATCACGTCAATTACATCCAACCTCGGACGTCTGAACTCTGAAGGAGGTGCGTCAAGTCTAAGTACTGACTGTTGACAAACTAAAATTGCAGTATGGACTTATTTGGAGGAACTACACATCCAAGAAGAGCACGGTTGTTTGCTTCAACAAAACCGCAAACAACGGTAACAGGCTTTTGCACCTTTGAGTGAAACTCATGGTTGGCGCGCTGCTCTCTTAAATCTGCACCCCGGTTTGGGCTGCTTGAACTTTATCATGAGCACTCCCGTCACAATCATTTGCAGACATTTCTAGCACACACACACACACCTGTGGAGTTTGGCATGCGATCCCGCCGGAAGTTTCCAAAAGTATGCTTCAATTTTGTTCCGTATGTTCCGATATTGGCCCAAAAGTGATTCACGCCACGGTAAAACAGGTCACGAAAACTGTCGACAAGTACCAGAATAATAACCCACCGACTCCGCAAATCATCCCTATACAATCCCCTTGATCTCCTTCGCATAGCATACAGTACTACAAATATGCTACATTCTTCTAAAAGATAGTATGTCTCTGGGTTTTGCTGTAGGAAATATAGGGGCAATATTGGGGGGTAATGGAAAAGAAAATGGAAACTACCGTATATATATATATTTGGAAATATATCATAAGCTATGAAGACTACCAGCTGAGAATGCTGGGGCTGGGGCCCCTGAGCAAGCGATCCCGCAGGAAGCCCCCCATCCAGGAGGTCAAGCCCATAGCCTTTCTTACTTTTAGGATCCAGCGTTTAGGATTTAATGGTAGGGGATATAAGGGTGATATGGGATAATGGAAAAGAAGATGGAAACTACTATATTTCATCTGTATTTGATTGTATACTCCTTTGCACCTTACAGATTCTTAGCTCTGGGTGCTAATCTTGCAGTCTACCAACTGGACTGGGTTTGGTGGTATGCCATGAACAAATCAAGGCTAAAACGGGCTAACACTCGCACTTACTCAGACTTCTACTTTGTGAGCTGGAAGGCTTGGAGGTCGAGGGCTTTGGGTTTATTGGAATATGGGGTTTAGGGTTTAGGTTTCAGGGTGCTGAGCCCAGAGCGCTGCCACGCGACGGAGCGCATGCGGGCGTAGGCCTTCATGACAACTCTGACTTGGGTCCTGCCTCTGCCCATTAACAGTCCATAATAGAGGTCATATTAAGGGCTCGTTACGAACATTATCCAGCTGTTCCTGGATGGGGGCAGCATCCCAACTCTGACCGTTCCAAAATCTTGTATGTCCATTGTATGGATTTCTGAAAATCCTGAACCCAAAGGATAGGCACCCTTCTTTCTGTGAAGTTGCAGGGAAGATGCGTAGGTACGGAAACTATGGTGCCTTGCAGGATCCCTGCATGAAGATACTAGCTCCATGAATGATAGTCAAGGGGCTCCTTATCTATTGATGCCCCGGGCCCACAGCCGTTATCGCCGCTTAGGGTTAGGTGTCATTAACTATTTGGGTTTGTTCGTTCACTTCGTGCTGGTGAATTGGACAACACCCAACTCACCAAATGCTGCTGAGAGAGGCAGGCTTGAGAGCCCCTTTAGGAGGGCTCCTTATGGATTCGGATTTAAGGTGGGGCAGCAACGCGTTTTTTAGGCAAAGTCTCCAGCATTCGCACGAATCAACAGAAGCTGTCATCAAATGCTCATCAATCCGACTTGTTTATCTTCAGGCATTGCAGCTGCAAGGACGCACATGAATCTTTCGAGACGCTCCGGACACCCTGGTAGCATGTGCGTGCCCGAAACCTTGGATCTACTGCACATCCTGCAGCTGGTCCCGAACGGCACTGCTGTCACCACCAGACCTGTTGTTGCCCCAGGTGATGACCGAGCCATCTGCCAGGATGGCAGCAAAAGCATGACCAGCGGCTTGGATCTGCCGCACATGCTTCAGCTGGTCCTGAACGGCGCTGCTATCACCACCGGACCTGTTCTCGCCCCAGGTGACGACCGAGCCATCTGCCAGGATGGCAGCGAAAGCACGATGCGTGGCTTGGATCTGCTTCACATTCTGCAGCCGGTCCTGAACGGCACTGCTATCACCGCCAGCCCAGTTCTCGCCCCAGGTGACGACCGAGCCATCTGCCAGGATGGCAGCGAAAGCACAATCAGTGTTTTGGATCTGCTGCACATTCTTCAGCTGGTCCCGAACGGCACTGCTATCACCACCGGACCGGTTTAAACCCCATGTGATGACCGAGCCATCTGCCAGGATGGCAGCGAAAGCACGATCATTTACTTGGATCCGCTGCACATTCTGCAGCTGGTCCCGAACACCCCCGGACCTCTTCTCGCCCCATGTGATGACCAAGCCATCTGCCCGGATGGCTGCGAAAACATCGCCAGCGGCTTGAATCTGCTCCACATTCTTCAGCTGGTCCTGAACGGCGCTGCTATCACCACCAGACCTGTTCTCGCCCCAGGTGATTACCGAGCCATCTGCCAAGGTGGCAGCAAAAGCAGCACTGGTGAATTGGATCTGCTGCACGCTCTTCAGCTGGTCCTGAACGGCGCTGCTATCACCACCAGCCCAGTTGGAGCCCCATGTGATGACCGAGCCATCTGTCAGGATGGCTGCGAAAACATCGCCGGCGGCTTGAATCTGCTGCACGTTCTTCAGCTGGTCCCGAACGGCACTGCTATCACCACCAGCCCACTGCTCGCCCCAGGTGACGACCGAGCCATCTGCCAGGATGGCAGCGAAAGCGCGATCAGCGGCTTGGATCTGCTCCACATTCTTCAGCTGGTCCTGAACGGCGCTGCTATCACCACCATAACTATTCTCGCCCCATGTGATGACCGAGCCATCTGCCAGCATGGCAGCGAAAGCATGATCAGTGGCCTGGATCTGCTGCACATTCTTCAGCTGGTCCTGAACGGCACTGCTATCACCACCAGATGTGTCGGCGCCCCACGTGACGACCGAGCCATCTACCAAGATGGCAGCAAATGCGTCATTGCTAGCTGCTACTTGTACCCTGCCTATGTGAAAAGTCAGCACATCTCCATGTTGCAACCGGGCTGTCCTAATGGTTGCTGCATCATCCAGAACACATCCAGATGGATCTAGCAGCCGACCGCTTCCGACATTGAGAGCTGCCTGCGCACTTTTTTTCAAGCTCTCCACAGAGGTATCCGGGTCTGCTTGCAAGGTAACAGCCCTACCGCTTAGCAGGCTCACCGAGACAGCCACGGACATGGCTTGTAAGAAAAGAAAACACGCTCTTAGCCTGCTGCAATCACCTTGGTGTCAAGGCCCTGTATCATCTTTTTCATATGAGCTCTAGTCAGTATTCCTCGTAAGAACCCCTATAATAGCACCCTCTATAATCCCCTATGTAACCCCTTCAAGGAGTTTAGACTATAGCTCCCTGAGCTCAGAGCAACCAGAAGAAGCCGAGACACTAAACTCCAGACACGGAGCACTTCAAGGCTTTAAGGGTTTAGGGTTCAGAACATCTTGAGCCAAGTCTGTCGAGAGAAAAGGACTGATTCTCATTTTGTTTCCTCATGCTTCCTACGTGTGCTCTGGGTTTCTGAGCCGCAAAGCCACCTAACACAAACCTAGGGAACCAACCTTGTTGGGCATCTGGACTGCTACGCAAGCTACATGCCACAAATTGTGGGTACTTTCATAAAGTAAGGGCCGTTTTTGGGGGGCCCCTAGAATAAGCATGATATGGGGACTGGGATTAGTTCAGGGTTTAGGGTCTGAGGAACGGAAAACTTCCGCAAGAGTTTTGGATGGTTTGTACTGTACGGCTACACGTTTTTTTTTCAAAGGTGTGGCTCCTTTTTTTGTTTACAAAGGTGTGGCTTCGCTCAATTATGGTCTTCGAACGCTTCAAATGCTGTAAGCTACTGCATTTGCTGGTCTTGGAACGTGTTAAACGGTGCAAATTACAGCGTTTTTTGGTCTTGGACCATTCACATGCTGCAAATTACAGTGTTTGCTGGTCTTGGAACGTCTCAAAATGCTGCAAGTTACAGCAGTTGCTGGTGTTGGAACAGCTCAAACACGGCAAATTACAGCATTTGCTGGTTTTGGAACGCTTCAAACGCCGTGAAATATAACATTTGCTGTTTTTTTGGAAAGCTTCGATTGCTGTTAATCACGGCATCCGCTGGTCTTGGAACTGACAGTCTTGGAACGTCTCAAAGGCTGTAGATCACAGCCATATCTGCTGGTCTTGGAATGCTTCACAAGCTGTAAGTTACCGCGTTTGCTGGCCCTGAAACATAGCAAATTCTGCAAAATTACAGCATTTGCGGGTCTTGGAACGCTTCAAATTTCTGCTGGTCTTGGAGTGCTTCAAATGCTGTAAATGACAGCGTCTGCGGCCCTGGAAAGTTCTACCTGCTGGGGTTTACAACATATGCTGGCCTTGCAACGTTCCTCTCCTTCAACTAGTTCCCTTTTCGAATTGGGGGGTACGAACAACGCATAGGTGCGGGCCTGATGTTTTAAGCTTACCTGCTGGTTGACACGGAGGGATGGAACTGAGAAGGAATCACCATGTCATTGAAAATTCTATGAGTTGTACGAACCTGGATGAAAATATTGTTTGAAACTATCAGGCACGAACAAAGTAAGCCGCACAACCTTCCCTTACTGCAAATCTGGTGATCGCATGATACTTCGTTGTTGTTGCTGCAACACGGGCGGCCTTAAAACAGCGGGGGGCCTGGCGGGCCCGTTTGCAAACAAAATGATCCGCACAACTTTCCCTCATTGCAAACATGGTGATGACATGATGCTGCCTTTTCATTGCAAGCATTGATGGCTGCAAGCCAGCGGGAAGGTTGGGGGGAGGGCAGCCCCCCGCAGTTTGCAAACAAAATGATCCACACGACTTTCCCTTCCTTCAAACATGGTGATGGCATGACGTGATGTCTTATTGGAATCATGGATGGTTTTAAAACAGCCGGGGGGTTGGGGGAGGCGTAGCCCCCGCCCCCCCCATGTGCAAACAAATTGATCCACACAACTTTCCTTTCTTGCAGAGATGGTGATGACATGATGCTGCCTTTTTATTGGAAGCATGGATGGCCCAAGAGGCTCCAAGGGTAACAGCGACGACAGTTACGGGAATCGCGACCCCGACCCCACCATGACTGTGATTGTTGACATGGCAAACTCCAAGAGGATCCGAGGGTCTAACAGCGATGCCGGTTGCGTACAATGCCCCCCGAGCCCCACGAGCCCTGTGACTGTTGAAGCTTGTCCAAATTCCAACAGGATCCCGGGGTCCAGGAGCAACTATGGTTGGTTTGGGGTTTAGGGTTACACCCTGGTTTCACAGGGAATGAAAGAATGGGTTTAGGGGTTTAGGGGCTATAATTTGGGATCAAATGAAAAGGGCGAAAGCCCATTCTTCCAAGTTGCTTGAATCCTGCCGTCGATCTTTGGCAGCAGCAGAAGAGGCTGCCACCCCAATCCGACCCACAAATGCTGCCAGGAAATCTTGCAGAATATTGTATACCAAAAAAACTCAGCATTGCGACAATCTGAGATTTCTAAGTGATGCATAATTTAGGACCATAGCACCAGAGAACCACAGGTTCACAGGAACGGAGGATGACAGGACCACAGAAGCAAAGGACCACGGGTTCAGAAGACCACTCGACCAGAAGACCACAGGACCAGAGGACTGGAACTGCCTAGGTCTTGGGAGCGGGCGTTTACGCTCGTTTTTCGCAGCTCATTTATCAAATTGTATGCATCTCAAGATTTCTGATGCTTAGAAATTTAGTTTCATGCCTATGCCCGATTTACAAATGCATGATGACCTAAGTATGGGAAGGTTTAGGGGGATAAACTGCATACTTTTTACTCAACACCCTGGATCTGAAGCCCTAAGCCGCAGACCTTCCATCTTGGAACGTCCCTAAGCCTGCAAACGACCTACAACCTAGACTTCCCCAAACTCCCAAGAGTCCCCGATGTCTAAAAAGCTTCAGCATACCCCAAGCCCATGCCCTTTCAACCCCTATTTGGCCTAAAAACGGAACGCAAGGAAAAAATTGCATACCCCTTAAAAGGTATGTCCCTGGGGCATGTCGGACGAATCCCTGAAACCCCAAGCAAAAGTAGACAGCCTCAGCATCCTGGGGCGCGAGGGCTGCCAGATCATAGAAGTGGCGGCTCAACCGCAACTCCACCTTTGATAAGGGCTTTGCCCGCTTAAAGTTAAGGATTTGAAGATCTTTCTGATTTTGGGGCTTTGGTGGCGTGGGGAGTTCGTTGCAGGGATCCAGGGAGTTTGGGGTCAGGCGTACGGTAGGCTAATGCATTTTTGCGTGCTGGGCTGTTAGCAAGCCGTCGTGTTTTGTAAGATGCCCTGAAAATACCTACAGAAGCCTAGCCCCCACGAACCACATGAAGGCCCCTTCAACATCCTTTGATCCCTTCATGGCCTTCTTGCTGATTTCTGCCTTAAGCCCTGACCCTGAAAACCTCCCTCAGGGGAGGACCTGATCCTTGAGGTCCACAATGTCCTCTGCCGTCAATCGCAGCGGACGTAAGCTAAGCAGTGCCAGGGCCTCAAAGCCAGGCTGCATCCCCGGGTGTAAGTTCAGGGCTTAGGGGGGTCTAAGGAGCTTTGGAGTTTTGGAGGTTTTCAATTTTTGGGCTTGGGACGTCTCATGATTGATACCCATGCAAAGTCAAGTGGGCATTATTCTGTGCAGCCTGCCTTCAACTTATGCTGTTTCTCTGATCCAGTTGCTCATGTTGAGCTCACCTATTGCCCAGGCCCAATGGCCCAAACCCAAGCTGTCAAATGCCCGGAGCCCTGTCAGTCACACTTAGTCAAGTCAAACATGGAGTCCAAGCCTGATTAAATGAAGCTTCGCCTTTTGCTGCATGAGGCTTTGAAAGAAGCGATGGCAGAAGTTCTCCTTTCAACAACGGCTTCTTTGGATCCTGACCCCCCCCCCCCAAACAAACAGATAGCATCGTACAATGCCTGCATCAACCCGTAGCCATACAATGGCCCCATTCATCTTTCCGTTAATCTACATACTAAGTCCCCCAGACGCTGCAAGTACACAGCTCCCGCAAAAAAACTCTGCACGTCGGCACGACTTTGTTTTCGGGCTCACTTTTTCTCTGTACCAAACCATACTTGAAAACACTGTACTAGACCATAGCCGCAGCCCAGTGTATTCTATCGCAACACACTAGGGTACGAAACTGCCCTGTCCGATGCCACTCTACATACGGTATGGTGTAGTGTGTACGTGTATATTTATACATAAACATACTACAAACCTCTGGTCCCTCTTGGGGAGCCTCAGTGTTAGGCAGCGCATCATGAAAGGACACAGAAAGGGACCAAAACTTTGACAACCGCCACTCAAAGTGTACAAAATGTAAAAGCTTCACGGGTATACAGTATATACACAAACCATTATAGTCCCCCTTAAGTNNGGGGAGTATACCCCAAACCCTAAACCCTAAATAGTAGTTTCCATTTTCTTTTCCATTATCCCTATCTTAAGGGGGGCTATAGCGGCTATACCCACCTAAATGAGCTAAGATCAGCCTCCTGCGGTGGCGCCAACGGCAGCGCCTCGCGGTTGGCCTCGTCCGCGCACGAACAACGAACACACCAAGGCATACGCGGCGGGTTAGCAAGTATACCTTAGGAGGACCCCCTCACCCTGTAATAGTGGTATAATAGGAATGTAAGAGGCCCCTATTAGATGTACCCCTCCCCAGCATTATGCAGGGATAACATGAGAGACGCCCATGTGCCCAGAAGCTCAATGCCCTTCGGTGCAGGATTGCATATATGTATATATATAGGGGTTATGTTGGGATGTTGGAAAATAAAAAAGGAAACTACTATGATATAACAGGGTACATGTTGGGGTTATATAACTGAGACTGCAGGCCGGTGGTCAAAACGAAGGGCCCCAAAACTCGGGATGCTATATGCCAGATTTGGGGTGGTTCGAAAAAGGAGCCGTGGTGGCGCCAACTACCTACATAAGGGTTATCGGAAGATTACATGTGGGTATGTCATCGAATGTGTTTATACGAATCTGGGCATAGCGTGATGATTATTCGCAATATCTAAACACTTGTGTAGACTCATTTTTGGTGGACATCTTGAATGTTGGGTAAGTCGACCCAGGTTTGGATGCAACCCGTACTCTTCAAGCTTTGCTCTTTGCTTCGGACGGCTTGTGCGCTCGACAAATGATTCTAGTGAGATTCTAGTACTTGTAGGTCACATTCTGGATTAGTTGGAAATTGAGCTTGTATCCTGAACCCTCTAAACCCTAATCGTCACCTTTAAACCTTTAGCCGAGGTAAGGCTATGCGACGGGGTGCCTGCATAGTTGCGTGAACCAGCAGCCGCAGGTCCTCTGCATGGACATCAACCAGTAGTAGAGTTCAAGACCATAGGAGTGGCGGTGGCGTTAGTCTTAGGGTTGGGACGAGATCCCAAAGGAAGAATGCATGTGTCTGGCGATTCTACACTTATGCGTCCCCACTTTGGTAGACTGCCCTTCCAACACAAGGTACCAGTAAATCATGACGTTTTTCCCCAATCATGTTAGATGAAGACTACTGCCTGTAGCCCTGTTCTGGGATGACTGCCTAACGTGATTTCGACCTTTGCTCTCAATACCGGAAGAAAAGCCTGCCGTGAGAAGTCTTGTAATGGATCGCACATCACGACCAAAAAGTGCTTGAACTTCAGGCCCTGCCCCAGTCATGTTCCACTCCTTCACAAAAACCTGAAACCTAAACTCCAAGGCAACATGTCCTCTTCGATCTTAGCACAGAGCGGCTGCATGATGCCTGCCTCTCTGTCGGTCAAAATCCATCTTACTCCCACTTCTACCTACATATTAGAATGATCATACCAGGTTTTGGGGGGCTACATATATACATATACATACACACATATATGTATATATATATATATCCATACATATGCACCCCCCCCCCCCAAACATGGGTTTAGGGTTTCAGGTTTTTAGGCTTTAGTTTCCGGGCTCCACTCCCATCCTGGATGGACTTTGCAATCGCAAAGCCTGCAAGTCTTTCCTTGAGCTCGACATCTTAAAGCACACGCTGGGGGGAACAAGAGGTCCCAGAGTGAAGTGTAGCTGGAGCCTATGACGAGCCTGCGAGCATGGGCAGGGGCACTATTCAGAGAATTGCGGTTCGGGAATTTCCACAGGAGGCAATTTTTATACAAAGACTGCACAGCACAAATGGGGATAGTTGCAGGAGTACATCCATAGGCCATGGGGCGGTACAGGCTGTATGTTCTGCCCAATTTTTCGGAGAAAAACTCCCGGCCCTTCAGCGGCTCTAAAGTTAGGTCCTAGCGAACTTTCGAACGTGAGGATGCTCCCGGAAGAGGAACATGCAAAGTCTGACCTACATTGCGCTTCACGACCTGAGTGAGGCAGTGGGCGTTGCCAAACAATTAGTCCTTGGTTGAAGATCCTTTGAAAACAGAACCCTACAGTACGTTGGGCATCTGTAGTAGCCCTCTTTTAAATCATATGCACATTTTCGTTTTTCTTGTCTATGTGCACTCTGCATGTGAGTGGCTTGAAATATCCTGAAAGGGCCTCCAATGCCTTCCGTAGTTCGACGAGCAGGGCGTCACGTGCCCGACCTAACAATCCCAAAGCCGCTTGTCCAGGGTTGAACATCGTAGATCCCTACAGCTTTAAGGGGTATCCCGTGTTGTGGGTTCTTGTTTGCCTTCTCGTGGTTTCGGGCATTTGGCCATGGGACCTTTGTCTATGAGCTGCAAGAAGCCCACGGTGGAAATCCTGCATGCAACCCTGCGCGGCCTGACACCTTCCATGTTCAGTCTAGAGAATTGCTCATCTTTTTTCCTGAGTGAGATATCTGAGACTGCGAAATTGCTTCCAAGCATGTGGAGTAATTCAGGGAGAGCAAGTCCTATCTACCCATAGCAGCCCTCAATCAGGAAATGCTGCAAACCGCAGAGAAAATGAACAGATCCCTACCGCACATAACTCTTCACACGCACCGAAAAGAGAATCTGACAAAACTCCCCACTTCGCAAAGCCTAGCACTATCACACATTTCCGCCAAAAAAAAGAACATGGAAAAGAACAACAACGTGAAAACAACATGCACCAGTGTGAAGATGCCCCGAAGCGGTACTCTGCGGGTTTTCCTTTCTAACATGCAGTGCAGATGTTGATGCACCAAAAGCAGCCCCCGCGTGGCAGTGGTCGGAGATTGTTGAAAGCTTGCGGATTCTACATGCCCCTCAATAAACATGTTAAGGACTCCTACTTCGCGTCTCGTTAAAAGGGTAGGCAGCGTGAGCGGAAAACAAGAACGCCATCGATGACCCTACCAGCCATGCACTCATGCAAACTCCGATCGCGGAGTTCTCTCAAACTTGTTGTTCCATGTTGGTGGCAGACATCCTCATCGCATTAGCTGTCAAGGGACGGATGCACCAAACTTGGGCACTCCTTGCAACTACGCCACACTTTATTTGAGCATCGGCGTCTGTAAACAGCCCCCATTGACCCGGTAAGAGAGTTTATTTTTTTGTTGTCTGGTCTTTTTTGTTGTTTGGGCTTTTCGGGTTTTGTTTTTTTGCTGTTTGGGCGAGTGTGTGTTTTATTTCTTGCTGTTTGGGCGGGGCCCGCTCCCCCGCCCAAACAGCAAAAAA